ACACTTGCATAAGTCTCTGAGGCAAAAATGAATGGTTTAAATGATAATTTCTAAAAAAATAATAATTGCGGAAGGTCGCGGGTTCGATCCCCGACCACGTCATACCAAAATACGTTATATGGTACTTGTTGGTCCCTGCCTGGCGCTCGGCATTAATGGGTACAACAAGAACTGGTCGGCTCGGAGTCAGTATAATGTGTCTGAGTGGGGTATTCATGCTTCACCTTGGCATGGTATCTCAGTGAGCTAGCACTATAAAACCACCTTCAGTCTGGGCTAGTACAAGCAACCACACCTACACATACACACGCATGCACGTCGTCATATGAGCGCAATATTCTTCAGCGCGACGTTAAACCCAATTTCACCTGACCTCATCTAAAACATAATTAAAAACAGACTGGGATCCTTGTACTGTCTGCTTATCTAGACTTCACTCTCAGAAGGATAGAATTACTATACATCCATGGTCTCAGCATTCAATACAGCCTGGGAGTGAGTGAGTGAAAAATTAAAGTCACATCGGCAGTATTTCAGCCATATCGTGACTAAGAAAATTGAAATTTATAAATGAATAAAAACAAATTTAGATAATATACTTACCTATCTGCAAAGGACAGTAAAATAACTAGAATATAACAGTTTTATATGTAAAAATAGTATGAAAATCTAAAACATTTTAACTATGAAAGACAATACAATATAAAGAAACAAGCTATAGATTGCCAACAACTGAAGGTAGATCACCATACTAGGGACCATGGGGACTGACAGTGCCTTTGCTACCTGCATGGACCTTAGTTGGATTTACACCATCCCTTCAGATGTTAGCAATTTTGACAATGTAGTCATAAATTAAAATAAAATATATATTGCAGTTAAAAATAAAAGTAAGTTTAAATTTACTTGAATTGTTTTGACACTTACGTACCCTCTCAGGAGGAGAATACTTTTACAGTACTTTAACCCTCTTCGAGGATGCAGCCTCCAACAATATCAGTTATTAATTTAAACTACCAATCATAAAACATTTATCTATTTACACAACATTAATCAAAATATATCTAGCAACACTATTTCTTTTAAAATATCAATTATTAAATGATAACTAGTACTATAAAAAGATCCTTTATTGTTTTGACACTGACATTTCTATCCCTTGTGATTGTAATAGCCTGGGAGCAAGGCTATGCGACGGCCAACAGTGCTGAATGTTCCAGTCGAATGGTGAATATGTTTGGAAACTGTTTGCTTCCCCAAATCTAAACATCTCACCACTTCACTCACGGGACACATTCCCTACAGGTCTATACAGTCGGCTCATTGATGGGACAACTCGTCTGAAAGGCAACTCGTCTCCATATCGAAAAATGTTACTGCAAACAGCCATAACTGACAGCCTATCATGTCGTATAACACAACAGGCTAGAGGAAACCTATCCTTACGGGTTCAGTCACGGGTCACTTGACACATTCGCCATTCACCACCTCAAGACACCCTGCTGTCTGAAACGGTATAGATATTAGGCACTTATTTACTGGATTTGTGAAATGATAATTACGTGGGACATTCAATATATTTTTGCAACTTCAGTGTAAGACCAAGTAAAAGAAAATGTTTTGCACTTTTATTTTTCAATATAATTTCCATTCACTTTAATACACATATCCCATTTATCCTTCAATCTTTTAATACCACTTTTATAGAAATCTGCAGACTGGCCCTCTAACCACGCCTCTGTGGCAGCCTTTATGTCCTCGTCATCTTGGAAGCCTCTTCCACGTATAGTAGGGCAGATTTCATTTGCCGGAACACGAAATAGTCACGTATCGTGACCTGTGCAAGTCTCGGCTTGTGAACTGGAGCGTTGTCAAACAAAAGTAGAACACCAAGTGGTAACATCCCACGGCGTTTCTGGCTAACAGACTTTCGCAAATCTTTCATTAAATTAGCATAACACTGTCCATTGATTGTAGTTTTTGTGGCATATAATCAATCAGTAATATACCTCTTGCATCCCCAAATATGGAGGCCATTACTAGGGGTGAGTATTGCACAGAATTTTCATACTGCGATATATTGCGATGCAAAAGCATGTATTGCGATATGTATTGCAATATATTGCGTGAAGTAAAAAACTACTTATAATCGAGGTTATGCTTGATTTATAGAGCAAATACACAGCAAAATCACTATGCTTGATTAAGCTTTAATAACAACTTTTATTTATGATTAAAAATGAAAATGTGAATAATATTTAGGACAAATGAAAAAAGGAAATATCCGAAGATTTCCGAGTGTTACGAAGTTTTCCGAATGCAAGTCAAAATACCGGTTTTCGATCAGCGTATCGTAATAAGTATCGTTTTCATGTCTGAACCGGTAAATACCGGTTAACCGGTTATATTGCGCAGCCCTAGACATTACCTTGCCAGCCGTTGGTTGAGTGCGAAACTTCTTCGTAGGCGACGAAGTGTGGTGCTTCTATTGCATGGATTCCGATTTACTTTCTGGGTCCCAGTGGTGGATCCATGTTTCATCACCTGTCACTAGACGAGAACGAAATCCGGCTTTATCAGAAGTATAGAGATCCTGGATCTCTCGACAACTTTCAGTTCTCTGATGGCGACCTTGTGCGAAGCCCATTTCTGGTGTCCCCGCCGTGATATTGCTGGAATATCGCTAAAAGCGGCTGGGAAATCACGCTCAGTGACTCACTCCGTATACCAGGACACAATCGCTTGTTTACATCAAAATTGTCCAAATGTGTGTTCAGGTGGTGCCTAATTGAAGCTCGTGGGTATAGGCAGCCGTGGTATAGTGGTATGGGTATAGTTAGCTAGTGCATGACTGCACTTGTCATGCCATAAAAAACCCTCAGCATAAGCGGATCCCGAGGGGGGATGCAGGGGTGCGCACCCCCCCCCCTCGTTTTGCCCTGAAAGGTTATTAAATAGAGCATACAAAACGATGTCCCGTGTAATACCATATTTATGAAACGAGTGAATGATTTGGTATCTAACGAGCGAAAGAATTCAACGATTGTGATTACTCTCAGCTTTCCGCGAGCTAAGCAAGGTCTAATACTATTGTGACAGAGGTATTAGCATCATAACTGTTAACCACTTTGGCGTCATACGTACGACATCACGCGATGTTTTTACACAATGTGTAATAACATTGTAAAATGATTAAACAGTGATATCTTCAACGGGTGAGTAATAAATGACCATTGAAACTCGGGTGAAAATGAAGTGTGCACCTATCTTTTTCTCAATAATGTGCACCGCCCCTTTCTAAAAAAGCTGTATCCGCCCCTGCCTAAGTTTGAAATCTAATTGACAAAACCCCCGTGAACCAACATAGTACCGAGAAAGCATGGCCCTGACAGGTAGTCAGTGTAGAAACTACTCGACCATGCTGCGTGAACAGCGTCAGTTTGCTGCTGCTCCGTGAGAAGGTATCTGATCTCTTACTGCCAATTGGCAGGGATATCATGTGACTTGTCCCAGAGCGTAGTTACTCACCCAATGACACAGAGATTCTCGAAACAAATCTCGGCCATCCCTTCCTTTTCTATGCAACACCGAATAGAGTTACATACACGGCCATTTCGTTTTCTTAGAAATTTTCGATAGAATTTCTATCTAAAATTGTATGTAGCATTTCAACGAAGGATAGGCGTCTTTAGATAAGAAACTGTTGATCGTTTAATATATTTAAACATTGGATCAAAATATACCTGTGTAGTGAGTTTAGAAGAATGTGTGACTATTCCTTTTGAGTTACTGTAACAAGTACAGAATGATGATAATAAAAGTTTTAAATTGCTTTGGAAAATATACTATCTTACAGCTTATTCAGCTTGACCTGAGCTACTCTACATATGCCTGACCCGGGAGGTCAATTGGCACAAACGGCAGGTCGAGTTAACTTCATTAAATAGGGGAGCAGAGAATGTTAAACGCATAGGGGCGTGTCTCGCTTAGAAACAGCGTTAGAAAGACATATAGGTGTATAGACCCAACCCTATTACTATATAAAAGGAAAGGGATGTAACGACGAAACCACTCTCTCCTCAATCAAAGTTAGATTTCACCACGTAAAATAGTTTTAAGGCCCCGCCGAGGCCTACGAATCGAAAGCTACTGTCGAGGAAATGATATGTAGATGTTGCAATCAGTTTTTAGACCCGTGGAATATAGCCGCCGATCGAATCTAGCCCTACATGGGTGCTATCAACGTTGCTGGAATTAATAAACGAATTTAAAAGGTGAGTTTTCGCTGTCTTGGCTGATCCATGATTTTGGCTTGGAATTGTGGAGGTAGCTGTTTTCGGTGAGTTGTGGCGTATTACTTTTGAAATAATGATCCGATTGTGACCATTTATAGCTCATTTTGTAAGGGCCTTAAAACTATTTTACGTGGTGAAATCCAACTTTGATTGAGGAGAGGGTGGTTTCGTCGTTACATCCCTTTCCTTTTATATAGTAATAGGGTTGGGTCTATACACCTATATGTCTTTCTAACGCTGTTTCTAAGCGAGACACGCCCCTGTGGTTAAACGGCGACATTGTCTCGGTTGTTCGGACATGTTGACAATCAACTGACAGAGGTACACCCCTTCACAATAATAGACCCAACCATTTGTGACACGGTCACGCAATGCATTAGTATCCACTTGATCAGTCAAGCTGAACAAGCTGTAATATGTAACTAATTCATAATATCTTAGACATAATCTATTTATATCCAAAACTTGGTCATAGGTTAAAAGTAGTTACCATGCATAGAGCCCATATTAAAATGAGGTGAGGTGAATTGTTTTGTCCAGGAGTTTCGAGCCCAGGGTCCTGTTTCACTAAGCTATCGTAGCGCTACGACCGTCGTAAGTCTATGTTACTACGAGAGAAGTTACGAGATCTTAGGCTTACGAGAACTTTGTGAAACGGTCCCAAGGTCACAAATGAGTTGAAGCTAAGCAACGTCTGTTGACCTTGGACGAGACCGTGTTTGGCAGCTTTTCTCCTGAGTGTTTCTGGGACTTCAGTCCTTCCCCACAACGAAACGCACGTCTCACCCTAAGCAAGTGAGTTTATCCAGGAATTGCCTCTGTTCACCCAGAGGTGAATGAGTATAAGGCATACGACTGTTAACCTTCTAGCGCCTCACAGACACCTTGGGTTAACCGGGGTAAGAATCTGCTAGAGGCTGGAGGCATGCATAAGGCATAGGCATAAGTGCATAAGAATTGATAAGCGTAATTTTTGTTTCATTTACAGTCTTTCTCCCACTGTGACGTGTTTGCTTAGATGTCGATAATGGTCGTTTGTTTTACAGAAAGATCTTTAGATGTTGAAGGTTTTAAATCAGTATTGATTCTGCATTCATTCCATCTGAATTTATGCATATGGTGGTTGTATAAATTTTGAGTGATGGTTTGATGATTTTACATATTTTTATATAGGAACCATAGGGTGGTTTTGGTAGGTCACAATATATGATAACATTGAGTTAATCCTCAACCAACATATTTCTTTTGTGTGCCGACGTGAGGTATCTAAGGGTAACACTTCATCTCTGTTGTATAACAGAATGAACGGAGGAATAGTGTGATGCCGCTGAAGTCTAAAGACGAATCCCAAGTTGTCTGATTGTGATTCAGTTTCTTGGCTAGAGTGCCATGTATTGTTCTATGGACCATTTCTGTGTGACTGTTGGCTTGGAGTGATAATAGGTAGGTTTGACATGGTGACCTTCAATTTCTGCCAATAGGATTTCATTCTCACTCCCATTATCACTGGCAATCTCTAGTGATGAAACGTTATGGGGCAATTTCTCATCCAACAACAATTGGGCTTTGGAAGCTGAATATCTGAGTGTTTTCTGACAGAGACTGGTGCTAAGGGCCTGATAAATCTATGATATTCTTTATGAATGGATAAGGATTAATATCAGTTTCCTGAAGAGATTGATTTCTCCTCCACGGGGTACGGGCTTGACAAGTGACACATTCGGTGACAAAACCATAACGTTCTTCATAAACATATGTCCTACAGTACTTGGTCTTGAGTACATCAAATATTTTGTCAATACCCCCCATTCGTCCATCTTTCAACTTATTTGTGACATACAATCAGACAAAAGGTTCATAATCAACAATCGTCATATCAGTTATAAACCCAGTTTTACGATTGTAACCAGTGATACCTGGGGCATAGATTTGGATTTGTTTACTCTACATGGGCGATTTCAAATATATCGTAAGGGTTTGTGGTCTGTGCTGAATACAGACTAGTCATTATACTGATAATGACCCAGTTTCTGTAAGGCATAATGATATCAAGAGCTTCCTCCTCAATTGTTGACCAGGGTTTGATTGCCACTTAGCTTATGTAGGGGGAAATATGTCAATCTCTCATTTCTTGTCCCAGGAATACCCCTTCCATCTCAGTTTCACATTCCCGTGTAAGAAAATCACTTGAACAACTGCCCACGCATCAGTGTGAATGACACAGAGATGACATAGAGAAATCGAGAGTTACAATGAGATATACCATTTTCAGTAATCTTATAGGCTTTTTCACGGTACAGAAAGTGCACTTAATCCACTTGTAAATGATATTGCATCAAATGGGACAAAGGGGAGACAATGCGACAACGCATATATATACATAGGTATATATACAACGGAAGTCTTTGTGAGATGTCCCCGATGTTAGTGTTTAACTAGGTCATCACCTGTATGTCGTAAAATGCCAACAACTTTGATGGAGTGGTCAGGTTTACTAACATCGTTCGGTGCTGTTCGGGATATCAATCACAGTCTTGCCCAAACTCGATGTTTCAGTATAATGATCGTTGTCTTCACCTTCATCTACTGAATCAGTGAAACACTTTATCAGACAAATCACATTTCATTATTTTGCAGGAGGACGTCAGAATGCTGTCATCAACGTCACTGCTTGTCGTCGCTAATGTCGTCGTCCTTGCCATTGTCGTTCGTCTGTATGTCGTTCCTACTGACAACAACACAGTCATTTCACCAGCACTAAACACAACGTACGACTACATTATAGGTAACGAAGAATACATAGATCATTGATATGACATCAAACGTCTCGTAAGCGACTCACGAGATGATTAAATATGTTTTGTATCTTCGGGCGATGGAATAAGTACGAACAAGGACGATTACATTTAAGTTTAGAACACAACATACGTATATATAGCCTAGGGCTCCACTGCTCTTTTAGGCCAAGCACCATCAATAATATACCGTGTTGATTCCCAAATGATACAAAAAAGATAACCGGTAATCAGTCAAGAAATAAGGTATGAAACCAACAAGAAACAAAATATGATGTAATTAACAATAATTGCATTCTAAACTTTACTAAGTTCAAATATCAGTACAAAAGTACGATACTTTAATGGTATGATAAATATATACACACTCACACAGCGTTGATTGCCTTTCCCTGCTTCGATATAAGCTAAGCAGAACGTTTGGAGGCATTTGGTCAGTCTTCGTATCTGTCTTTTCAACGATTGTTTCACAATTGTAGAGTTATTACTCAAAATGCGTTTTTCAAGCATGCTAAATGTTTGAACATGCAATAGAAACGTCTACGATTACTGAACTCTGGACACCTACACCATCACCATTATCCATATTATCCCAGAAAAGGTGGAATGGGCAGAAATGACATTGCCGGTATAATTACGACCTCATGACGTTGAAGGTTATCATTGTCATCGAACCAAACCGAAAATATTGCTATGTCTTTCCAGTTGGAGCAGGATCCGCAGGTTCTGTCTTGGCATCTCGTCTGTCCGAAAATGTTCACGTGACCGTCCTACTTATCGAAGCCGGAGGAGATGACCGACAACAGCCTATAGTGGATATCCCGTTTCTTGCACCACTGGGAATGTGGAATGACCAATTCGATTGGCACTATTTGACTGAGCCGCTTAAAAGCGGGGGTAATGCCTACCAAGATAGGGTAATATCCTACGAAATTTTGTGTGTAATACAACGTTATAAAATAACAAAATTTTCCCCCAGAGAACAACCAAGCTTGATTACCACTGGACGTGTTGTAGACTGCAGCAGATGAAACTGGCGTTTGTGTAATGTGGTAAAAGCTCAAATATTACGTGTGTACATTACATATTAATCTTCTAGGTTACGGGTATGCTTCTTACGGTCATGGTACATTACACATTAATCTTCTAGGTTACGGGTATGCTTCTTACGGTCATGGTACATTACATATTAATCTTCTAGGTAACGGGTATGCTTCTTACGGTCATAGTACATTACACATTAATCTTCTAGGTTACGGGTATGCTTCTTACGGTCATGGTACATTACACATTAATCTTCTAGGTTACGGGTATGCTTCTTACGGTCATGGTACATTACACATTAATCTTCTAGGTTACGGGTATGCTTATGTTAAGAGACATGAGTAACCATGTATTGACAGAAACAGATGTTAATGACTCTGTTTTATAAATGATGAATCCTCACACTATGTGTACAGCAAAGCACAGGAAAAGGACAAACTGGTCTTAAATGCTTATATGATCAACAGAAGGTCACACCTTAAAAGTCAGTTTTGTTCCACAATGATGTGGACCTAGAACCTCAGCATACAACTGGACCAAATATCAATACAGAATTTGTTATTTCTCACAAATGTTACAATTTTGAAGGAAACGAACGAATGTGTCTTTTAAGCAGCTGTTCAAATCTTAAATAATACAGCTGGAAAATGCGCGTATAACCCTAGCATGCAATTATGCTGAACAGCAGTGCAAAAATTCATACTTGTCTGAACTGTAATGTGTTGAATAATGCGATAGAATTGGTCCTCTACACAATGTTTAAAATCCTTAAGAAGAATTAGAAGAGCTTTCGGCTTCAGTAGAAGTTGAAGTATCACGCCCACAGTTTTTGTTGAGTTAATAAACGGATGTCTAGGCAGGTGTTCATCCATTTTGAAAATCTTGTTTCTTTGCACAGAAATCATACTGGCCTCGCGGAAGACTTCTTGGTGGTAGCAGTCAACTCAATGGCAACGTCTATGTTAGAGGTCATCGCCATGACTACGACAGCTGGGCAGCCAGTGGATGTGATGGATGGACGTACAAAGATGTCCTTCCCTATTTCAAAAAGTCCGAAAATAATCGGTTGGAGGACCTCTCTCCAGGTGCATCTTACACATCGCAAGATCATGTTATAATGGGAAATACAACTTAAAGGGAACATTGACCATTTCACGATCGGTCCAGTTCCCAAAAGCATCCCAATTTGCTATGCAGAGATGCGTGCCCAAGGCAAGCGAGGATCCTGGGGCTGTTAGTTAGAATCCAAGACTCGCCCTGATTATTGCTCTACTTATGTCAGCATCATCCCCTATCCTTGTCGACAGGGAAACTGAAACTGTCGAGCATCAGCATCCTCACCATTTGTAGATGGAGTGGAACTGACTTCTATACGTCAGTTTGAAATAGTGTGTATGGTTAATATTTCAGTGATATGAAGCGATAGACAAAACAAATGGGAAACGGCGAGTGGACGCTCTAGCCACGAGGCAACCCAATTCTTTGTAACATATTGAGCCATGTGTTTGTTTGAGGTCAAGTCTACAAGTAAATTTTGCTAAACAATAATATTTCTTGCAGAGTACCATGGGGTCGGTGGGCCTTTAACCATCAGTAAGGCAGAGGTACAACCGGTATCAGAGCGAATATTCAAGGCTGGACTTGAGTTGGGCTATAAAGAGACGGATGTGAATGGAGCGACACAGGAAGGTAACATGCAAAACTGGACACTGTTATTGATGAGATAAGCTGTACAATTCCGAACTATAGAAACAAATGAGAGTGTCAGCCCAAGAATATGCGTTATATGGATGTGTCGGCCACTCAGTTGTATATATGATTTTTACAACGTGTTTTTTATCGCAAATATTGTATATCCGAATAAAATATATATTCTTCATGTGTATATTTACGATACAGAAAGAATAATGAGGTATATATTATTGTCCAGTCGAAAACTAAGGTATATATTATTGTCAGTCGAAAACTAATCACAAATTGTTTTAGTTGCTGTTCAGAATTGCTTAAGAAGGGCCTTTTAAAAAGACATTATGACCTTTTTCACATTCACATGCTGCTACATTTGTGAAGCCATATAGACCCGATGATCATAATCTATTCACGGAATTTCACACATTAGTACGTTTACATTGAGACGGGTATGTACAAGAAAGTTTAAACGTTTATTTCAGTAATTCCTGGACTGGCATTAAGGTAAACTATCGCATTAATAAATTTACCGGTCCATAGATTATAGTATTAATGTGTTTATGTCAGGATTTAGTTACACACCGACCACAATGAAGAATGGAGAACGTATGAGCACATCCAAGGCTTTCCTGTGGCCAGTGATAAACAGACCGAACCTGCACGTTCTGGCTCACAGTCATGTCACAAAGGTAGTGTGTTAGGAACAATATATCAAATATATAGCATGAATTGCTCACATTCTATTTCACAGTGTACGAATAAAGACACAGTGATATAAAACGTACCGAAGTGACTAGGTAACAGGTAACGTATAAACTGTCATTACCATCTGTAGTAATTAAATAATACCCTATGTTCTTACAGATAATGATTGAAAACAAGAAGGCAGTCGGCGTGGAGTATGTTAAAGATAACCGCCTGTACAAAGTGCTGGCATCAAGGGAGGTAATCCTGTCAGCTGGTGCAATTGGGTCGCCACAGTTGCTGATGCTGTCTGGGATAGGACCGAAGAAACACTTGGAGGATAAAGGGGTATATTTACGTATTTAAAGTCTGATTTCTTGCCACATGATCAATGTTCATAATACTGTTGTTACAATGTACGTTGTTTCAGGCTGTACTCAGGAACAGTTGACCAAAACTGGACCTGGGAGCGATCTCCAGGATAATCTCCCCAACACTCTTCCGTTTTAAACGTTTTGTGCCGTTGGATGTATGTAATAGTTAATTAAAAAAGTTAAAAAATTACAATGACTGGAATACCTGCTCTGATGTCAATTTAAGATTGAGTGTCCTGTCCAGACATACCCGCTTCTTTGCATATTTATACTTCAGATCAAAGTTAAAGCGAACCTACCCGTGGGAGACAACCTCCAGGACCACGTGATGACATTGTGCAGGTCCTCGATCAAACAACCCCTCTCCATCACACCACAGAAGGTCTCGTCAATCAAGTCGACTCTGCAATGGAAGGTTTTTGGAACAGGTGGGTGAGGAAACAGTATGCGAAACAGTTTCCAGAATTTGCTAGCCCACAAAATAATTCACTTGCCCGAAATTTGAATGTAGACACGGGTTTCATCATTAATCTGCTGATATGATGAACATTTTTATCAGGCCATAATGTTGCATCGTTTAAAAGTGTATTATAACTTAACAAGTGGGAGAGCCTGATATATTTACTAAAATGACCCCATGAACATTCACCAGCCAGTTGGGCCAGTAACTGTGGAGATTTACTGGCCCGACTGGATGTTTACTATCCACGGGCTAGTGGGCCAGTGGCTATTTCGCACACTGTAAGGAAAAGCTGGTTTTCATTTGATCGGAAATACGTCTAAAACTGTTACCATATTGGGTATCTGGCAAGTAAGGTTTACTGCAGACGCATTGCAGAACATACAGTAAGGTATATATGTTGTTAGAAAGATGTGTCCATAAAGTCTGGCATCAGTAGCCTTGTTGGGCTTCCGGAATATACAGTTTATCCAGAAATTCTTTGTTTTTCTTATACCAAAAAAGAATTTTAAAATAGATGTTACGTTGTGTAGTAAAGTACTCAATATGGGAGGCAACTCTTGTAGACTTAAGAATGAACCTTACTACATCAAGAGTTATCTTCCCTGGTGTAGCAGACGGCTTCCTTTGGCAAATTTGACAGCAGGAGATGTAAGAAAGCTGGTTTTAGATGATTTTGAAAGGGGTATGACTAATGCAAAAGAGTTAGCTAGTAGACTTGACATTCTTCTGTCTACAGTATACAGAACCTTGAAGAATATTCAGTCATGGGTTGGGATTGAGCACTAGACAGGAGCAGGGAGGCCAAGGAAGTTCAGTACTACGGATCGCCGGCCACTTGGTCAGGTTGTGAGTAAGGGAAAATTGAAAAGCGTTGAGAATATCAGAAATGAGATGATTAATAGAGGAAGTCCTCAGGTATGTACTGATACCTTAGATAAGAATTACAACGAATACACTGGGTGAAAAAAGCGCGGAAATCCCTCACCATTGATGAAAGATGGACAAAAAGAAAGACGTTTGAACTGGTGTAGGAATTACGAAATTCAAGACTGGGATAATGTTTTCTTTCCTGATGAAAGTTCTGTATGGCGTTTTCCGAACTGTGTGAAAATTTAGACAAAAGATACAGTGAGACCTATCTACCAACGCCCAAAACATTGCTCGAAAATTCACATGTGGGATGGGATATCATCACGTGGAGTGACGGTATTGTGTAATTTCACTGGACATTTGATGAAGGAACGATATGTTGACATCTTAAATGTTCACCTCCTGCTAACTGCCCAAACACAGCTGAAGATATTTGGATTTTCCAGCATGATAACCACCCAAAACACACTGCAGGCTACACAGAACAGTGGTCGTCGGACGAAAATGTTCAAGTTTTAGACTGGCCCAACTACAGCCCAGATCTTAACCCTATTGAGAATGTGTGGGGTCTAATGAAGGACAGAATAAACCCAAAAGGACTTAGAAATATTGAGGATATGAAGAAAGAAATGGTCGAATATTGGGATACACTGTCACACGATTTCGGACAAACGTCGCTCGGTAGTGTACCTAGGTGCATTCAGTCGTGTATTGTAGGGGAAGGAGGTCTCACAAAGTACTGAAAAGACACTTAGACTGTAAAAGAATAATATCTCAACATATTCATTTAAGTAAAACTCCTAAAGTTTATATACATGTATTAGATATTTGCCAAAACAACTTTCTTAATAATTTCTGGGAATACTATAACTAGTCTCCTGCAACGTGTGTACCAGGCTACCAAATGGATCGGATAGTCATCATAGGTGACATGCATTGTTTGAGTGTCGTCCAACTCCGACAGGGTGGATCGCTGCTCATGATATCAGTTTTGTTCAATCTGGATTATTTCCATACCTTAACCATACCGCTGCAATATTGGTGAGCAAGGCGTTCAACCACAATGACAACAATCAGTGGGCATACCAATGCGGACAATCACACAAGCTAGTGGTATACAGTTATATTACGGTGGTATGTACATAATTGTCAAGATCGAATCATACAAACCAGTGATTGAATAAACAGCAGTTCCAACCGCTCATGTACTATGACACTTTGTAACCATCTGGTATTAAGGTCGTATATCGTGACCGTGTCCCAGGTCTAGCGGTAAGTGCATCTTCTCCTTGGTTCGATCCCCGTTTGCGTCATACCAAAATATGTTAAAAGATAGTAGTTGTTATGCTTTCTTGCGTTCTTAAAAAAGGTGAAAAAAGGAAGGCTTGGCCAACTTAGAGTAAGTATACTGCGTCGGGGTGAGCTATACAAACTATGGCAAGGACCATCACTATAAATTCCGTTATCATTCAAGCAGCCATACATTCACATTCATACCTGCCTTTGTATTGGTGCAAAAATACTTACCACCCTCACACACTAACAATCGGATTCCAGCTCGTCTTCAATTCACACTTCAATTAACCAGATTAGCAAGAGCATGAAGACTCATGATCACTTAAACAGAGCTGTGGATGATGTCAACTTGGTCCTACTCCTAGATCAAAGACGACCAACCTCGACCCATTTGTGTTACTGCAGGTCCCAAAAGTCTATCCTAAGGGTACTGACGCTGCTCCTAATGCCATCCATTATTGACTGCCTGTGTGTGGTTTAATGCTGCACTCAACAATATTCCAGCTATATAGTGGCGGTCTGCAAATAATCGAGTCTGGACCAGACAATCCAGTGATCAACAGCGTGAGAAACGACCATCACATTTCAATTCTGCCAGGTAATCTGCTTTGGGATCGACATGGTCACATTTGTGTTTGTCATAGTAATTCAATGCTTTGTCTGTTTCAGGTGTCCTTGCCTCAAATATTGGTTTAGAAGTGCTCGCCTTCATAAAGACTAAGCCTGACGAAGTCAGCCCCGATCTCCAACTTCACTTCTATTCCTTTCTGGTAGATCTGGAAGCAGGAAACTTTTTTAACATTGACGAAAAGGTAAGGTTGATTGTTTTGGGTGAGAGTGGGGCACCAGCCTGGAAGCCCTTCCTTATGTTCTGATTATATTGCAGCTGATAGATCGCATGAACTGGACGGGAGACGAAGGCTTTACAGCTCTTCCAAGCTTGCTCCACCCTAAGAGTAGAGGGACAATCCGCCTCAGAAGCACAAACCCATTTGAACATCCTGCCATCGACCCCAACTATTTATCCCATCCTGATGACGTCCAAACGCTCATGAGAGGTCAGTGTGTGGGAACGATCTTTTCATATTCTGGAAGTTGGAATATGGATTAACTTGCTTGCCTGATAACGGTGCAAGTTTAACACCATAACGCCACTCCTTATTGTTAAGTTGTTCCTCCACATATCTTACCCTTACATAGTAGTTCATCTACTAAATGCCTGTCAAAGAAGTAAATCCCTGTCATGCTACACTGAAACGTCACTGCACATTGTAATAAATTAAAAAAGGCACTACACGTTTTTCGTAAGTTCAGTGGTTGTGTCGACATTTATAAATAAGTTATAATTAAAGCTATATTTTTTAACCTTAGTGCTTGTCTTGTGGGAATGAAAAGTGTGAATATTTTTCCACAAGGTCCACATTCATATTTGGGATAGTTTGGGGATATTTTACATTTCGAAGCACAGGAAATGTAAGGTATATATGAGTACATACCTTTGAAAAGAAGGGTTTGATGTGATTCAAGCGGTCGACTGTTTACTCTTTACAATGACCTGCAGATACTTACATGGAGAAATAAACTCTGTCTGAAGATCGAGCTCAGTCGCCTCGGGCTACATGGTATTCTGCATTTTGAGTTAAAGATGTATGTCAATATGCTCTAATTTTACAAAATATAAACCTGTGATTGTAATGAACGATATACATGTTAGCATTTGGCCAACATGATCTGACATTTTGATGAAGAAACGGCCCACCTTCAAATTTGCAGGCATACGGATTTCGCAGAAATTGTTGCAGACAAAAAGTTTGAAGGATATTGGTGCTGAACAAGAAATGAAGCATATTCCATCATGTGTGGATGTGGAATATGACACAGATGCATACTGGGAATGTCACATACGGTCCATGCCACTGACGATTTACCATCCTGTTGGAACCTGCAAGATGGGAAGTGTAGACGATTCTTCGACAGTTGTGGATTCCAAGCTGAGGTAAAGAATAATCTGACTTCCCTATTCTGTGAGTCAGTGACTGTAGATGAGCAATAATTAATTGATTCTCTCACTTATTTACAGGGTGAAAGGTATTTCTGGACTGCGAGTCGTGGACGCCTCCGTAATGCCGACCATAGTGTCTGGGAACACAAACGCACCGACCATCATGATTGCAGAGAAGGCGGCGGACATGATACTTGAGACAAAAAACGAATTGCGTGATCACTAAAACAAGAGTGGTGGCACTATCTAGTGCCCTTGTATTACTAACCAAGACCCTTAAGTGATCAATGTCCTTACTAATCTTTGCTCCTTCAGACCATTACTATTAGAGATGAGATCAGGGACCCTAACGTAGGGTGGACGTCAGATCAGTTCCCCGACTTACTCAGTATTCCTGGTAATCAGTACACCAAGGCGGTAGCATGCTGTAGACCTAGAACTCTTAGTCTCAGAGAAGAATAGATCTTATTGTTTTGGTACTTAATGAGGTAAGTACCTCAAGAAATAGTTCCAGAGATCAGTACCCTTTGAACTAGTACCGCTAGACTGTAGCATTCAGCCATGAAATTCTTTAGTCCAACAGTAGTGCTGGGAGTTTAGTTGATGCTTTCTTGTTCGCAGGTATGTGAATTTTACAATTCCAAAATACCAAGTGAAGTGTCAGCCCGAGTTTGTGTATGTTGATGATGTATATGTGACAATTTCATGTTCATGTAAAGAACGTAACACAGAAGAGCAGTTAATTATATTCTGTATGCATTAGTTTGAAACATTATATGTAATAAATGTGTTATTATTGTCTGAAATAATGACCCATGAAGTACATCTTTGTTATCATTATGAGTCAGTATGAGTATAGATGCATGAGGAAACACAATTGTATATGGTGTTTCTATTTTTTCACAACCAGTATGAAATGGATTCAAAACCACCATCTATCCAAATCCCGTTACATACAATGTAACACGTTGTATTTGGAATCCCGGATGGGACTCAACAAAAGTACTAGAATCTGTACTCCACTGAGAAAGTGTTATCATACATTACTAGTTCTTTCAACGATATAATTTATGGTCTGACCCGTCAAAGAACAGACTCCAGCATATGAAGAGGTATCAGTGCGTGTCATGGTACACTGTGAAATAAACAGATCTCTCCCAGATCTCATCATTTTGAATAGACCAGCTGGAGGCTGCAACAATGGAGCTTCCAGTGAGAGTGGGGTTTAGAAATGAAGCTGACTGGGTGTGACGCCAGAGGAGAATCATCCTCCACTCTCACAGCGAGAAACACCTTGTTTGTTTACATCGGGGCCATCCATCTGTATGTTTTTAATGATTTGGCTGTATTGTTCTGTCAAATCGATCTTTGATGACACATTGATACGTGTTCATGCGTTTGCAGAATGAGGATGTGATGTGACTATGATATGAATTTATGACCGCATCTAATTGTGTACACTTCACACACGGGAGAGCATTATCACCAAGCGAATCCTGAGTGTTATATTTTCATGTAATACTGATCGGTTGGTCCTTTCACGTGTAAAGCCTATATAACTTGTGCTTTTGTTTTCTAATTTCTTACACTGTTCAAATGTAGTAATTAAGTAAAGTAACTTTGTTTTGGTTTGGTGATAATTCGAATAATCATCTTAGTTTACCTTGTCCGCTAATGGAACTAACTCAGCTATCAGGTTACGTCTCGAAATTTGTGTAAATGAAGTTTCATATTGTGTTTAATTTACCTTAGGTAACATTTATCTATTTCAGCATATTTTCATGTGACATACATGTCATGACTTTGGAGTTTTGTGATAAACACTTGCGTGGGTCTGTGCCTTTAAAACATGTGTGTTTACTTTGGATATTGTTGTCGTGTTGCTTTAGTGGTTAATTGTGATACTTTGGTCTTGAGTTTGGTCAATCTTGCTGTTGCATTACTTTAGTTGTTGGTACTTTCTACTTGTCTGCTAGTCTATTGTCATTTTGTGCCTTTTGCGGGACTAGTATGTGATAAAATTCAGAAGAAGATTCTTCGGTTTGTGTTTGGTTCATAATCTGGCTAGACTTTGATTTGTTTTTGTTATTGGTGTTTGTCGGTATTTGTTGTGCTTCCCCATAATGTGATGGCCATAAAACTGCAGTGCATGGAATGCCGTCCTTGTATGCAAACACAATGGAGATTTGGGAGTATGCGTGGATTATCGCCAGCTTAATTGCTGAAGAATTGTTAGATTGCTTGGGCGGCTTGAAGTACTTCTCTGTTCTTGATATGAAGTCTGGGTACCATCATGTAGAGATACCACAGAAACACAAAGAAAGAACAACATCTACCGTTGAGTCTCTCGGTTTCTATGGGTTTAATCAGATTCTGTTTGGATTTTGCAATGCCCCTGCAACTTACCGGTGCTTAGTGGTAAACTGCCTCTCAGGATTACCTCTGAAAATCTGGCTTGTCGAAATTGATGATTTTATTATTTTCTGTAAGACTTACGAGGCACATCTGGACTGACTTAGAGAATGTGGCCTTATATTAGCACCAAAAAAAATGCAAATTCTTAAAATATCCTGGAAAATATGTGAAACCTCTATCGCAGTTGATGACAAAGACAAATTCAAAGAAATCAAAATCAAGGGAAGACAAAGTTGACAGAGGAAGGTGTCTGGGTACCATCATGTAGAGATACCAGATATTCGGGAAAAAAGTTCAAGAATTGTAAGATCACCTGACATCAGCTCCTATTCTGATTACTCCAAGCCATTTGAGTTGCACATTGATGTCAGCACCCACATGCTAAGAGTCATTACTTATGCCAGCAGAGGATTGAATAAATCCGAACCCAAGTACTCTGCTCACAAACTGGAGTATTTTTTGTCTAAACAGTGCCATAACAGAGAAACGTCAAGATTATTTGTATGGCCATGGGTTTTCTGTACTGACAGATAATAACCCACTAACGTATGTCCTCACCAGTACCAAGCTGGATGCAACAGGCCATAATATTTTCTTTTTGTCTTCATGATCAGATTGGACATCCTGAATGAGACAGGACGCATTCACTCACAAAAGAAAGATTCAACTGGCCAGGAATGACACATCTCATTTCAGGCTGCACAAGATATTTAAGCAGTTGTAAATGAAATAATATCATTAAAGGTCTTTTCGTTTGTTAAATTATTCTCATAGGGAATTGGCTACTTTTGAATTGGGTGTCTTATTATTAAACCCTTTGTTTTCACATCTGCAATTTTCTCACTGGCACAACACTGCACTTAGAGACAGACACAGGAACAGAAACTGAAGGATTAGTAACTAGTATTATGTTCTTTTCATGCCACTCTAATGATTAAATCAATGCATGTAAATATGTCATCAGATTAAGCATATGTTAAAAGTGCCACATATATTTCTCTACGTGAGTGTGTTAGTGAATGTGTACAAGAAATACCATATTTGATTACATGTGTGGTTTTGTTGATCTGTTAGTGGCTTGTAGTGCTTACTGATAAATTGATAACATTAGATGTTATGTTTAGATGTGTAAATATATTAGTACACATGGTATGTTTTATAGCATGAACAAGGTGATACAACATTATCATTCGTATGAACTACAACATCACCATGGAATTCACAGGGACCATATATTTATGTGTATTAATATATTATAGATAGATAGATGCATATATATTATCATCATAAATGCACTATTCTGATTAACTGAATATAAGATCATGCTTATTGTGACATGTTGTGTTACATGTGCAACTGCAACATTGAGATGAAGTGTATTCTGTAAACTAACAATACATTACCTGTATCGCTTTCAGTAGGATTGATTATGTAATTTGTTGCTTTCATATGTCAAAGTATGTGGTGGAACACTATTCATATTATCTAATTCATTGTAACAGGGTGTCAGTGTGTCATCAGTTTGTCATCAGTTTCTATCAGCATAATAAACAGACCTAGGCTGGTGTCATCATGATTACTGCACAAACACTCATTGATGGCTTTTACACATATACCTATACAAAGATGCTCTTCATTTTGTCTGAGGTATAAAAGGCAGTTGATTTGGCATTTGGCCTCGAGATTGAACAATGTAAATCTCAGTGATAAACAAGTCTATGATCTTGCTTTTAAAGCTGTGAATGGATCTCAAGGAGGCAGAAAGTGACTTATGACGTCAAAGCTAGAGCACTCCTGCTGGAGACGGGATAACAGGTTCAGGTGAAAACAGTAGCATTTGGCGGCAAGCAGAAGGTAGCTGATAATGGCAAGAGAACGTCTATGTCGTTCTTAAACAATCAAACCCAGCTATTCCAGTATCATGTGGCCATGAATACATAAAGAAAGGAAAACAAGGACACGCCACAGGAATGTATCACTTTCCATTGGTTCTTTACCAGTTCCAGATATATCTGTATCAGTTTTAAGATATAAAGTCAAGGTATCAAGATCCCATTCTGGAGCAGAATTTACCTTTGGCACCCGCCCTGAGCTTTTAGTTGATACACTGATAACTGATAGGCCAGCTGAAGGTAAGGCTGAAGCGGATACTGCTATACTGCTCTGGACGAAGATAAAGGCCAAGCAGAGTGTCACATAGTCATCTTCCGGAATATCGCCCTCTGACCTGTACCCGAATATCGTAGGAGGAGGATATTGCCAACCCCACCCCGCCATAATTCACAAAGGCAAAGGATTCAACCAGGTTGGCAAACAAATGGAGACTACGTCATGGCAGTATCTGCAGTTAATCATGAAGAATGGATCTTCCGGGCGGATTACCTTAGCTCACTTATAGCTAAGGGGATATTTTCCAACACAGCTTCATATGCTGTAGTTGATCTTATGACTGGAAGCTTTCATTACAAGGACGTCATTAGTCGGAGGGGAGAAGTATGTAATGGGGATAACTTCAACCATTTTCATAGTTGTATTTTTGTACCAATCAGGCTTTATGAATGTATATACCTGTAGAGGGTTGTTCAACAGACTACTGCTTGCTTACAATAAGCGTTATAATGGGGAACATTCCTCAGTTATCTCCCTTTACAGCATCGCCAATAGATGGCGCCAATCACTACGGTCCTAAATATACTTCCGGCATAATGATGGCGTTCAAAGTTTGTTGCACGGTCGATTTCAAATGCGCAGCAATATTACGATGCCTGAAACGTGCTGCCGTGCCTCGGGATGCTGCAATAGAAGTTCGACGTGTCCGAGAGGTCAAAACT